CCGGCGAGGACGTCTCGGTCGCGAGCGCCGGGAGCGCCGGGGCGCGCGTTTTAGAGTAATTTTCTGGGCGTTTCCGTATTGAGCGGGAGTATAGTGTCAAATATCAATGCCGCATTGTTACATAGAGTAGATGTCACGTGTCATTATAACCGAAGTGCGGCAAGTCCGAAAATGCTTTCTCTGAGCAGGCGGGTTTTCATTGGACGAGCCGGCTGGCGACGTGTAAGATGACAGAAAGCGGGGGCCGCCCTGAGATATTGGGGTGCTCTTTTACTTGCTGGGGAAAGGAATCTCGAGGGTCACATCTTGGTGTGAAATAATGTACCGATGTCGCTCATTGTCTGTCCTGGCTGTTTCTAGGGTTTGCCACTGTCCTCTGCTCATCCCCCTCCCCTCCCTCCCTCCCTTTCATCTCTCCCGCCCCATCGGAAAATTCTCTCATCCGGTTTGCAAAGGAAACTGTATTGTAACTAGCATTTTAAAGATCGAATAGCTTGTGTTATCTTTTATTCCTCAACATTTTGATAGGTTGTCGGAAACTTTCTTTTCCTTAGAAAATAAGTTTGATAATGCCGTGCGAATAAGAATATCTAGTTGTAGTAACATGGTTAGCAGCGCTTTATGTTGTCACATGTAATTGCTGTATTATTGAATTAGATACAACTTCGTCTTGAGTTAACACCATCCAGTTGAGAACTACCTTCAACCTTCAAGCTAATCTCTTAAACTGAGCCTGCTATGGGCCTTATTAGTAAATAAAAATGACTAGAAAGCAGACATGTAACTAAAAAATGCCTTTCGAATAAATACCATTTTTGAGTAGCATATTAAAATGTATGGCCCTAAGAGGTATGTGAATTCCAAAGATATAGCTTCTTAGGGTTAAAATAGCTACTTGAGTACTAGAAACTTGTCCACTTCTTTCAAAGCTCATATTTTTTGGTACATATATATTTGATTAATGGTACAATTGTATAATATAATTTCTTTGGTTGCTTTTTCTTCTCTGTATATTTTTTACTTTATATTTTATTTTTTTGAGTCGGAGTCTTACTCCGTTGTCCAGGCTGGAGTGCAGTGGCATGCTCATGGCCACCCCAGCATCGACCTGCTGGCCTCCGGTGATCCTTCTGCCTCAGCCTTCCAAGGAGCTGGAACTACAGGTGTGCGCCACCATGCCTGGCTAGTTTTTTTTTTTAATTGTAGAGACGAGGTTTCACCATGTTGCCCAGGCTGGTCTCGAACCGCAGGCTCAGGCAATCCTCTGCCTCAGCCTCCCAAAGTGCTGGGATGACAGGCTTGAGGCACTGTGCCCCGCCTTCTCTGTATATTTTACAGAGCTAAGGAATGCCTTAAGTGACAGTGAACTGAGAGTAGCATTGCCGAAGAGGCCTCTTCACTATAAATCCAATGGGCAGAAAAGGAGGAATTCATTTTCAAAAGAGAAAATTCACAATCTAATTGTAGTGTTAATTGTACCAGAATGAAAATAGAATTTTCTGAGCATAGATTCAAAACTAACATAAAGTTCAAATTAATCTGTGGCAGAATAGGGATTGGAAATTTAATTTTAATCAATCAATTATTTTTGAGTCAGAGTCTCACTCCATCGCCCAGGCAGGAGTGCAGTGGCACGCTCACGGCCACCCCAGAGATGACCTGCTGGGCTCAGGTGATCCTTCCACCTCAGCCTTCCAAGGAGCCGGAACTACAGGCATGCCCTACCACACCTGGCTTATTTTTGATTTATTGTAGAGACACGGTCTCCCCAAGTAGTCCAGGCTGGTCTCGAGTTCGTGGTTTCAGGCAATCCACTCACTTTGGCCTCCCAAAGTGCTGGGATGACAGGTTGAGCCACTGATCCTGGCCAGTTAATTTATTTTTAACATGAAATATTTGAACATACTGCAAAAAAGAGTGAAAAATATAATAGGCACTTAACTACTGTTTTGTTAGATCTCAGTATTTTTAGTTACTTATTACTAAATGTTACTAAATAATAGCGAAATGTCAATAGTGACAGTTTTTGTCTGGTGTTTATTTCTTTTTATGGAGAAGACTTTGGGAAAATTGGATTTTCTGCAGCTTTTCACCCATTTCACTAAAGTAACTTAGGTGATTTTACAATATCATTTATACAAGTATAAAATATGATGAAAACTTTAAAAAAAAATCCTGACTTTGTTGCATTTTCTTCCTTCTGTGTAAAGTCCAGCTTCTATGTGTGGTTTAGACTTGGGTTATATTTGTTTCCAGGATATGTATTTCTTCGTGTATAGCTTAGAAAACATAGGCAATGATTATTTCAGTGGAATGGGCATATAAACGAGTAAAATGACTGTTACGTATTACTGTGTATTCTTTACTGTTAAAATGACTGTTACGTATTACTACGTATTCTTTACTGGGGTGAACACCACACATTTGTTTCCTAGGTCTATATTTGAACTATGGGGTCATGGAAAGTCTCCTGAGGAGCTGTACCGTTCTCTCAAAAAGTTTCCCGTGGAGAAGATGGTGCGTAGTGACATGTAGTTTTGGTAGGCCTGTGTGCAGATTCTGTCGAATTACTGAGCTTGAAAAACGTATCTGCTTTTATTCTAGGTTCCATTTCTACATGCAGACTCCACGTATAAAATAAAGATTCACACATTTAATAAAACATTGACACAAGAAGAAAAAGTCAAACGAATAGATGTAAGTGAATTGAGCAAAAACAAAAAAACCTACCGGATGGTGTAGTCTAGTCATTGTTGATATATAAGAATACCTAATGCCTGTTGAAAACTTATTTTGTGCCACATTTTGTGCTGAGTACCTTCACGTTTTATCTTATTTAATGCTGATACCAGACTTACAAGGTAGGTACTATGAGATGAGCACTATTTTTCCTTGTACCTTTTTATAAAATATTAGAGTTACTTATATTTTTTAGGCACTCGAATTTCTGCCGTTTGAAGGAAAAGTGAATTTAAAGGAGCCACAACATATATTTTCTATTTTGGAAGATTATGGTTTGGACCCAAACTGCATCCCTGAGAATCCACATAATATTTATTTTGGTAGATGGGTAAGCAACTCTGTTTTCTTCCCAATCTCAGTTTGTTTCTTCGAAAGCCATATGTTAGGACTTTGCCTTTGACTCTTCATAAGTGTAACATCAGAGCAGCTTAGGAGTCAGTGTTGAACCCGGGACTCTAATGAGAGAGATATAGAGACCACGCTTTCCAGCGCTTAGGCTCCCTCTGAGATCGAGGGTCGTCTCCCAAGAACTCTGGCCGGGAGGGTCTTAGAGTGCGTCCACTCAACCTTATTCTGGCCTCATAAAATGGATATCGATATCCTACCAGAAGCGCACGTGCACTTACCCACTGTCAGAACTAGGTATAAGTTAAAATTGGCAAAGAGTACACAATTATGCTTTGTTTTGTTTTCCCAGAGATTCCCATGAAATACGGGGGACTTGTTAGATACAGGGCCCAGGGAAACGGTCAGGTGCTTGGAAATATTAAAACAAGACTTGTCAGAAAATCTAGACTGCTTTTTCAATAAAGCAGAGAAAAGGCCGAGTGCTGGCTGTGATCCTTGAGGGATCTCATTTGTGGAGATCTCCAGTGTGGGTCTTTCAGCTTGAAAAGAAATGGAATTGCTGTAAAACAGTGTGCCCACTTCCCTGAGTGGAAGCTGTGACTTATTTAGAAATTCTTGTTGGCTGGGTGCAGTGGCTCACGCCTGTAATCCCAGCACTTTGGGAGGCCGAGATGAGAGGATTGCCTGAGCCCACGGGTTAGAGACCAGCCTGGGCAACTTGGCAAGACCTCATCTCTAC